ATGAATAAATAAATACATATAAATAAATATAAATAAACATAAATAAATAAATATAAATAAATAAATAAATGAATAAAAAAAAAAATAATAATAATAATAAATAAATAAATAAAAATAGTTTAAACTCCTCACTTGGACTGCGGGCTCAGTTAATCCCTCACTTGGACCGTAAAACCTGTTAAATCATTTGGACCGTAAAAATCCCTCACACTGAACAGCTACAACAACATTCTACTGCCGTGGCTTTGATACAGGATCATTGCTGTTTTTATCTACGGACGCTGCAGCTGCTGCTGCTGCTACTGCTGCTGCTGCTTCATACGGCTACTACTGCTGCTGCTGCTGCTCCATACTGCTACTGCGCTACTACTGCTGCTTCATTTACTTGCCATCTCTCTTCACTTGCATCTCTTTTACTGAAACACTGATCAGCTACGACAACATTCTACTGCTGTGGCTTGATACAGGATTATTACTGTAATCTCTAAGGATGCTGCTACTGCTGCTGCTGCTGCTGCTGCTGCCGCGGCTTGATACAGGTTATCGCGTTATTATCTGAGGTACTGCTGCTGCCGCTGCTGCTACCGCTACTGCTGCAACCCACTCTCTCAGAAGCTTATCCTGTTTCTAATGGATGCTGCCCGGCTAGTATGCCGCGCCGCGCTGGCCTCGTACCTATGCTCCCAGGGTCGCTTCGGCGGTCATGCTTCATCTCTCTACCTAATCTTCTGATTCTATCAGATGCAGCCGGCCGAGTAGCTGCGCTGAGCCGTCAATCGGACTCCTAATCAAAGGCATCCATACCTGTATTCTTCACTCTTCTGATCGCAGGCTCCCCCATCGTGCTGCCCATCCTGCAGCGGCTCTGAGCGGCACTGAACTCTGGCTCGTCTTCCAAGTACATGTCTGCCCTCCTCGCAGCATCTTCCTGCTCGCCTTCTATGACTTCTCTGCATAAGCGTCCACTACTGCTCGCTCAACCTTCATGCGGTCCGAGACGCGGCTTCCCGACCATCCTACTATCCTGATTATCTACTCTCCGACCCAAGATTCTAAGCGTAAGGGCGCCTGCAACATCAATGGCCCTCTCCGACATGTCTCTGCCCCTACAGGTCTCCGCTTCTACACGGACGTGCCCCTTCCGTGGGTTTTGGGGGATTCTTCCAGGACCATTGGGTTGCCGGGCCGTGGCCGCTACTTCCACCAGAGCATCTCCTCTGCCCTACACGAGATATTCCCAGTGGTCGTGGCCTGCGCGCCGTGGAATCACACGTGGCAGAGAAAGAGGATCTCTGTCATGCGCGATAATCTCGACGTAGTGGAAGCATCACACAAAGGTCGCTCTTTTTCACCCAACATAATGTCCCCTGACCCTTTCAACCTTCATCTCAAACATTCAAAGACCAAGGCGCCTGCAACATAATAATAGCTCGCTCCGACACATCTCTCTCCAGACAACCTTCCCATGACAGCAACCTGGTTCAGAGCTCAACTAAGATCCCTACTGCTCCTCTGCAATTTGTCTCCCCAGCTCTATACAGCCCACTCCTTCAGGATAGGCGCTGCCACGCGCGCGGCCTCGCTGGGGCTCCCCCACCTCTCCAACAGCTGGGGTGCTGGTCCTCTTCGGCTTTCTCCGCCTACATCAGCCCAGACGCGTCCGCCATCCTGGCTGCACAACGCCTACTGGCTTCCTCGCAAGCTCCCAGCAAAGCAATACGAAGCAAAGTAAGTGAAGCAATAAGATTCTGGTGGCGGCACGCACTTCTCAAACACTCTCCGCTGCCGCAGCGTCTGACGGAACGTGATGCGAACGCTCACGTTCCCAGCGCGCAAAAATAACCCACGATGCATTACACTCGCCTCCGCTCTCGGAAAGGAGATCTCAACGGACCGTTATTTCTCACCCCCGATCACCTCCCAACGTCATCCAACGGGTTCAGAGCCCAACTAAAGTCCGTACTGCTGCTTTGTAACTGTCTCCCCATCTCTACGCAGCTCACTCCTTCCGGATAGGCGCCGCCAGCAGCCGAGTATCCGCAAGTATTGATCACAGTAGATAGCGGTCACAGCATATAGCGATAGCGGTCACAGCATATAGCGATAGCGGTCACAGCATATAGCGATAGCGGTCACAGCATATAGCGATAGCGGTCACAGCATATAGCGATAGCGGTCACAGCATATAGCAAAAAATGGTTAGCAGCATTGCGCTGGCGGTCACAGCATAGCGATAGCGGTCACAGCATATAGCGATAGCGGTCACAGCATATAGCGATAGCGGTCACAGCATATAGCGATAGCGGTCACAGCATATAGCGATAGCGGTCACAGCATAGCGATAGCGGTCACAGAATAGAGTAGAGTAGTCACGACGTCTGTCCCCTCCAAACCAGGCTTCGAAAACTCCATCAACACGCAGCCTTTTTGGGGATTGTGCGCGCTCATCGCAGGAGCCTTTCCGATCCGAAGGCCGCACCGGGACCTAGGGCGCCAAACCTCCTTTCATAAAATACTCAACTTCCTGTTTCTCGTCTCTCCAAATTGAAATGCAGCCCGCGAAAATTCAATTTGGTAGACGTTAACCAAATTTACCCCCTCCAGGCCGGCTCTCATCCCCAGCCTATCGCTCAGCAGACGCCCCCTTCCAATCATCTGTACCGACTCGCAGCCGCATAAAAACGGAGCAACTCCCACTACCGGCCTCCTGAAGCCTCGCAACCACCGCCTCCCCTCCTCCTCCTATTCACCCTGCCTCCAATCTGCCTCCAACCTGCCTTCAATTTCTTCCCGCTGCCAAATGCCGCCACCAGTGCCTAGGTCCCGGGGGATTGTGCGCGCTCATCGCAGGAGCCTTTCCGATCCGAAGGCCGCACCGGGACCTAGGGCGCCAAACCTCCTTTCATAAAATACTCAACTTCCTGTTTCTCGTCTCTCCAAATTGAAATACAAATGACTTAGTAATATGTCAAAGACTTAACCATAAGTACCAGTGATAACACCAGTAATTATACAGCAAGTACCAGGTACTTGCCATAGGAACTGGCCCATAATAAGACAAAGGACTTAACCATAAGTACCAGTGATAATACCAGTAATTATACAGTAAGTACCAGGTAGTACCTGGTACTAGCCACAGACAAAGGACTTGGCCACATACAAATGACTTAGTAATATGTCAAAGACTTAACCATAAGTACCAGTGATAACACCAGTAATTATACAGCAAGTACCAGGTACTTACCATAGGAACTGGCCCATAATAAGACAAAGGACTTAACCATAAGTACCAGTGATAATACCAGTAATTATACAGCAAGTACCAGGTACTTACCGGTAAGTACCATGTACTTACCATAGGAACTGGCCCATATTAAGACAAATAACTTCAATACAAGTACTTATGATAACACCAGTAATTATACAGCAAGTACCAGGTACTTACCATAGTACTGGCCCATATTAAGACAAAGGACTTTAACAAATTTGACCAGCATCTAGTGTGTGTATCCATTATTTTAAACCGACATGCAAACACAAACATGGTGTAAAAGGATAGTTGAATAGTTGTGAGCCCACAACGGTGTAGACTTTGGTTCAGTTTTAGTAAATTTGCCAAGTTCACATCTCTGATGAGCATAAATCACATCAAAAGCACACAATGACCACACGCCTCGCTGACCGCGATTGCTCATAAAAGCGAGCGCAGAGCACGCATGGGGACATGAGCACCTACCTGGTCAGTTAAGCCTCCACCAAACGGTAAATTATAGCTATCCGTTACCTTTATAGGTTGGCTTGCACTCACATTTCATGCCGCTATTGTCCAATACTAATTATCATTGGAAAACCTACATTAGATTCGGTGCTCATGTCTCATGCACAGGTGCGCTGCGTCAATGCAACTTTGTAGCGTAGGCTGATGCATTAGCCCGCTGCCCATCACTACTTCATGAATCCAAGCGGCAATAAAGGTAAACATGCAATTTAGTGTATTGGCCTACTGTCCGTGGCTCAACCAGTGCAGTTTATGCCCTCCCCCCTCCTGTTTTTATATTGCAGATTTAGATGAGTCATGTGAATTATATTTTCCCACGTCAAAATGGTGAATTTCCATGAAAGGCGACAGATTTGCATGCATGTTTGATGCATGCTCTGTCTGATTCTTCTGCTTTTGATGACTGTTGTCAGCCAGGGGAAAAGAGCACTGGCTTGTGGACTTTAGAAAACCATTCAGTCATCATTCTTCACTCCACCGCCATGGCATTGTTCAAAGTTTGCCTCTGCAAGAAAAAGGTAAAATACATGTTGAAAAATTATTAGCCAGGACTGTAGCCAAGATTTTACAAATACTAAGGTTCAGTTCCTGTGCTCATTAAACATTTACCTTTACCTACAATAAATAAATCCATGGCTACAACCATGCATTTATTAACAGCATGTGGACATCATTATTACTTACTTTTTTTTGTGCTCATTGTTGTTGTTCTCTTGACCTGATAATTAAAAGCAGAACATGTGTTAACAACCTCGACTTTATTAGCATATTGATATTTAATATTGTTAATCTGATCAAGTTTTTTAGAAAGTTTGCATTAGCGACAATGACAGAACGCGCTGAGCATTCTGAGGCCTACTTTTGTAAAGTGTCCTGACTGGTTCATTGGCCCACATTCACACGCGGTCTTTCAAACACAGACTGAAGCCAGTTGGGTAACACTACTACTATAGTAATATTATGTGCTTTGCTACATAGACAATTCGTTTATGCTCTCATATCATTGTGCTTTTGGTACAATCATAGTTACTGTCTGTGTGTAGAGACATGGTCTCCGTTGTTTGTGTTTTTTATGCCTTACTTGCTGTGGCAGGGTGCAGCTGACATGTCGGCTCCAGTGCTGTGAGCTCACAGTACTATTGCATGAAAGGTGGCACACGGTTGGTCCTCCCTCTGTCTCTATGTCCAAGTACATATGCCATCCTTTGGCCGCCGTCCTCCTCTACAATCTGCGCCACCTCCCATGATGCACATTGATGTCAAGAGAAGAACAATATAATATTAATATACACATATGTATGGATTATTCAATACAATTTGAAACGGCATACATTTGTAAATTACGGTCAAGAAACAAAGTAAGTCACGTAAAAGATCAAATCAAAACACTACTTTTATTCAATGGTATTTGTGTTGATATTATCTACATTTCTAATTATCAGAGTGGGGGTATTACATGGCAATACTTTTGGTCGTGGTCTTCAAACACCACTCATTTTCAACTCAACACAGAGTCACACACCATATCTCTTCATTTGTGTTCTCTTTAATCCGTGTTACTCCGACTATCTGTGAATAAATGACTAATTTGCGCACTTTCAACAACTCTTGTCTCCCCGTTTTGTTCCAAAAATACATTTCTGCACACTACATTTTAGATAATACCAGCACGATGGATAGATGCATTAACGCACATGCGCGTTAGCCTCCCGCGTAAAATTTGAATTACTACACTACAAGCAGTATGCAACGATTACAATTGAACATAAATCTAACCCTTCCGTTATATTACGCAAACATTTTCATTTATGACAGTCCTTCGGCATTTACAGTAGTAAACATACCACTAACGCTCCGCTTGCTGAACTCGTACCATATTATTGCACGCATGGCTAAACTGCCACCTACAAATCACTGTAACAACTTACGAATCACAACTTGACAAACTGCCTGCATCGTAGCAAGCATAAACATGTGGCTTTTACATTCATATCTATTCGACACCGGTGTATCCACCGGGGAATCAGCAGCATGATAATGGCGTCTGGTAGCTAAACGGCTAACGCTACATAGCCATGGGCCACTTAAAAGTTATCCCACACCTTTGACAAAGGCGAAGGTCATTATAGTTTAGACTTACAAGTGAAATTACAACATCGCATGGCCTATGTCTGTTTTGCACCTTTACCTTTCTTTAAGCTCTCTCCATTCGCCAATACCTTCCCCAGATGGACTCGTGGGAGCCCGCTCCCTCACGGTCCGAATCTCAGACAAGGGTCTTCTCTGCTTTTTCCGCTGGCACTGACATGTAATTAACCTTACAAATGTCTGTGTAGGTTTCTGAACACGACCGTGCGCACCTACAGCACTCACGATGATCGGACATTAGTCTCGTCTTGGATGTCTGTACAGCAGGTTGTCACCCCGCGAGAACGAGGGACACTGCTACATGTATCCGGCTCGGGGGGCATGTCGTGAAACCATCTGAAATTATCAATGGTTACAAAGTAATTCGCGCAAGGGGGCCGAATAATATGCACGCACCCATTTCAGTTTTTTATTTGTTAAAAAAGTTTTGAATTATCCAATAAATTTCATTCCACTTCACGATTGTGTCCCACTTGTTCCTGGCGTCCTGAGGTCATGGGTCTGGTGAGAGACACACAGTCGCTGGGACTGGAAAACGTGACTTCTGTATCTGGTGAGAGTTGTTTCTTGACTGCTATAACTCTGCTCTCTGCTCTAACAAACACATTACAAAATCGTATTGTACACCAAGCTAACTGTGTAAGCACTCTGAGTCAGCTGTTACTGCAGCAGGAGGTTTAGTAGCGTTTTTTTGTTTATGGTCTCTGAGTCTGTTTGTATCGGCCGGGCTGGGTTACTACTGTTTGGCCTTGTCTGTCCACTGAGGTATACTGTATGTGGAAGGCATGGGCTGACAAATGCTGGAAAATGGGTAGTAATCTGAGGGAGCGAGGAATGGAAGGAAATTGTACAGGCATTACAATAACTTTTTTTTATGACCAGTAGTCTTTTTGAATATGGGCCAAAAAACTATATGATTGACTGAATATAGTTTTTTTGCCACAGCTCAGAGATTCTATACGAGAGAAAGAAAGGCTCTTCTTCACACAATGCAATGTCATTTTCGCTTCCTCAGTTCTTCATATGGTGGGGAAAAAACGCATGGATTCAAATTGGTCCTATTCGTATTTTGTAAAACTACATTATACCTATGTAAATGCTTTTTTAATTAACATGTGCACATAGTTGCGATGCATGTGATATTTCTCAGTAAACAGACAAATATAAATATTGAACTGCAGTAATTTGGAGTAAACTTTTCTCAGCACAGGTGGAAGTGGAAGATATTTAACCTTTTTTCCTTTGATTCTCTTTAAAGGTGCAATACACATCTCCTGGTAGTTATTTTGCTTGGAATGTTCCAGAGTATAACTTTTATTCTATCAACATTAGAGACAAGCAGGTAAACTCACAAGCCATATTGGGACGTCACGCCATTTGGAGCAGCCATTTTGACGGTGTAGAAATGCAGTAGCGAGATTTTCCTATCATGCCGGAGCGATGCTGTGCAGTTGGATGCGACCAGAAACGTGATCAGACAAAAGGAATATCTTTATACCGGGTGCACGGAGGAGTTATTTGTTCATGTTTTCATGACAGAATTACAAGTACAATAAGCCTTCAGTGCCTGTCACCTCTGTGTAGAGAAGCTAGCCGAGCTAGCCACTCTCAAACAAATACCAATCAATCAATCAACACCGTTAAATGTTAATCAGAGAATACAGTACACATCCCTAACGCAAATGCACGGATGTTTTCAGAATTATTTGTTAACGTTTTCATGACAAAAAGACTGTTTTAATGAAACAAAAAGCGATCATGATAAACCCGCAAGTAACCATTAACATGAAAGGAACATTTTAGGACACATTTGAAGAGGATCTCATTATGGATTTAGGTTCGGTATATAAATGAGTTCCTCACCACTGATGTTCAGAATTCTTTGTTCAGTTTTCATGTAGTTCCAGAGAATTTTTGAACTAGCTAGCTTAGCTCCATTGCTGCGGAGTCGGCGGACGGATACCGTCAAAATGGCTGACACGCGGCTATGGGTCACGTGACTGGGAGATCCCTATACTGTATCTGTGGAGAGACGAGCCGACCCACTCTCCAAGCAAAGAAATACATCTCCATGACAACATGAATGCACACATAGGGGCATTCATACAGGTATAGTTGTATACTTGAGCTTAGATCTTTAAGCCCAAACATCAATTCAATGACATTGTATTTATTATCTTATCTCGGATTACTTTACAAAACCGTCAAATTTGCCAACACTGATCAGAGAATCAAACAGTTAAAAAACAATAAATGTACTGATGAAAAACACATAAGTCCATAAAGCATTGGTCCATTATGGATGACCTGTCTTTAGGCGGGCATAGTCCCTACCAAAAGAAACATTTGTTGTGCCATGTTATGACGACAGTCTGTCCCAGGGCAGCTGACTACAGTTGTAGTTTATCACCACCGTGTAAGTAATGAAAGAATAATTACATTTGAAGTGTCTTTGAGTGTCCAAAAAAGTGCTGTATCAATTATAATTATTATCAATATTATAATTGCACAAAAGGCACTCTTGCACAGCTATTCCAATTTGGATTTACTGCAAATGGCAATTAAATAAATGCATAATGGAAAATGATAATGGCAAATAGATAAACATATCTTGAACAGACATCATTAACCTTTAACATGTTGGCACACTTCTGTCTTTTGCACAATCTGAGTGATCCTATCCATGCCAAAGTGACATTTAAATTTCTCCAGTGTGAGATAAATAAAATCTATCCTATCTTATCTTATCTTAAACCAAATCTGAAAAGTCTTATAAAAGATCCATTGATACTGTCTGTCTAAACCAAGAAAAGCATAGTTAATTTTTGACTTTGCTTGAATGTGTACAGAAACACTGAAATGTCCCCTCTGTGGCATTAATACGGTTTATCTCATCTTATCTACAAGCTGGTAGAGGACCCCAAGTTGCGCAATGCAGTTTTATGTTACTAATTTGATCCATGTGCAGAGGCCTGGTGTGAGACTAGGTGTGAGACAGACTGTAGCACACGTTCTACTCAGAGAAATGAAGAGAGATTAGAAGTGTTGGTGGCCCCACTGAACACGAGCTCTGAGGAAAATGAATTACGTTCCGCTTTTATCATATGTTTTACAGCATGCGGCGCACAAGTGCACTGGAGCTCCACGTGTTTATCATCCGCCATGCCAATATGTTGTGCTGTGATGAAGAGATACAACTTCTGCTTTCAGGACCACCACTTACTGTACTGTATGCGGCAGATTGGGGCACTTCATTAGTATCATTCAAGACCGGAGAACACAGAGACGGTGCCTATAGATTGTGAGGACGAAACAATTGTTTGCACCAATGTCATTGATATGATTGTAAAAAACAAATTCACATGAACACACACAGAGAGACATCAAGCAGACGCACACACACACACTCACACATATAGATTCAGGACAACAATGCAATCTAAACCAAATACATATACAATCTGCACAAACAAATTTTGAAATCGCTCACAAATTCATAAAATCTATAGTTCCTTGTTGTAAAAAAAGTTTGGTTCTATCACTAGTTTTCATAAGCATGTATTTTTCTTTGTCAAAGCTTTAGATCAGAGAAATAATGTTTTTGTTCTCAAAATGTTGCTTATGTAACGCACTACGGGGCTAAGGGTCTGACCGTTTGTAGGGTAAGCATCAGAAGAAGGAACGATAAGGAGCCCAGGAGTGTGAATAAAACACATACACAGTTAATAGCTTTTTTGGGGAAAATAATATGTATTAATGTTGATATATATATATTGTTATATGTGATCAAAAGGTTGTATAATAATAATAATAATAATGAAAATATAGTCAGCAGACACACGCACACATGTACCAACCAAAGCAAAATTCAAACCAAAGTGTCCCTTTCAAAGAGAGTAAAGTAAATAAATTATATTGTTCACAGTTCTGTCAAGGTAAGTTCAGTCAAAGTAAGTTCAGTTCAGGTAAGTGTTATTGTTCCAATGCATTTGTAATCCGTGTGGAATGCGTATTGTAATCCAAGTTATCGAGTTCCAGAGTGGTGAATCAAGTTGAAACAATTGTTCCTACCACGATGATGCGGTGGGTGACAGGTTCGGGGTCGTTAGCTCGCCATCCAGTGGTTACATTCAGTAAAGCAGTGCAGTTCAGTCAGTGGAGGTGGGGGAAAAAAAACCTGACCTGAAACAGGGTCAGGAAAAACCCATTAATTAGCTTTAGAATTAAATTAAAATAATATTAGCACAGAAATAGACCATTGCTGCTAATATATTAGATAAATAAACATTAGGTCATATCTCATCATACTACCATTAGGTCATAATGATAAGAACATAAACATGTCAATATTCACAGTGCAAAAACACATACATTCAATAGTCTCAATTATTCAAGGTAAAGTGCACTTCAAAGTATAAATCAATCCGTCACAGAGCTCTTTATGACATTAATCAAAATATACAGGGTTCAATAGGGATTGTTGCGCAACAGGGTAGTGTTCAGGGATTCAAATTAGCTATTGCCGTATGGGCTACTAGTGCAAAAGTAACTAAAGTCTTTCAAACAGCCGATTAAACATGAACTAGCGCATTACTTTGGTAGTAGTGCACATGGCAGGGAGTTCGGCTGGAGGCTTAACAAAAAGAGAGCGGCGTATAAACTTAAATAGCCGCTTGTAGGACGGCTTCCCGTCTTGTTTATATGCTATTGTTAGCATTAGCATTCAACTAGGGTTCAGTTCGTGGTTCCAGAGAAACAACGGTGACTTTTAAACGCAGGGGTGTCTTGACTCACCGTTGAGTGGAAGATTAGGTGCAAGAATCAGGGTGATGGTTGCATGATTGAATCCAGAATCCAAAAGGGTTGTTTCAGCAAGAAGCCGGCAGTGTAGACAACGCTGGAGGAGCATCTGTCAAACTGGATATGTTGTTGCGGTACTTAAGGGAAGTTGTTCCAAATTAAAACCGGAAGTGGTCATGTGACATGGGTTACACTTACAAGACATCATCCAGCCCCTATGGACCAATGGCTCTATGTGCTTTTCATTGTTACATATCCTGTTTGAATATCTGATCTGTGTTGGCGAATCAACAGCTTTGTAAAGTCCTCAGAGAAGACAACTGTTGGGATTTGGGGCTATACAAAAATACATTGAATTGAATTGAATCCCCAAAGCAAAGAGAGGAGACTAAATACTATGCGCTTTGGGCTTCGAGCTGATTGGCTGAGCAAAAGTGGTCTTCTCTTTTCCCCTAGAGCTCTTAAGATGTGACAGGCCAAAAAATGCATTCATGTGAAAATGATTTTGAGATGGATTTTATTA